TATTTACTTATTTTTCTTACTATTTAAATAATTTCCTTCTGCATATAACCTTTGTTCTCCAAATATTGACTGTTTACAGCTAAGATGACGAATTCTAATGATGATAAAGTTACCTTCAAATTCAGGTCAAGATAGTTCTCGGTAATTTCTGGAGAACTGATTAGAGAATAATCCAGCAGAGTATAATTGTCAATCTTGGTTAAAACTAAATGACAACAAAGAAAAAAGAAAATTTACTTTAATTAAAAGCATGGCAGAATATATGAATAATGTCTATACAAAACAATATAATTTTTTAAAGAATTTTTTTTACTTTATTTATGTATTTTAATTTTATAAGAGATGGAGAGGAAGAGGGAGGGAAAGTGAGAAAGAAGTTCCCAGGTCCGGGACTCAAACCACAATCGGCCATGTGGGAGTCCAGCGCCCTTAATCACCACATCACCTGCTGGCCTCAGAACATGATCATTTTTAATCCTCTGTTTAAAAGATCAATTCTCCCTTTTCAAGTAAGTAATACATATTCACGTTTGAAAACCCAGGAAAAGCAGATACATCTGAAGAAGAAAGTAAGCACTTTCTAATCATATTACTCTAAGAGAAACATAAGTAAATTTTTAAAAGAATTATTTTTATTTAACTTTATTTATTTTAATTTGATCAGAGAGGGACAGAGTGAGAGAGAGAGAGACAGAGAAGAAGAGTGAGAAAGTAAGTTGACAGATCTGGGACTAGAACCACAGTCAGCCATGTGGGAGTCCAATGCCCTTAACCACCACAACACCTGCTCGCCCCTTAATAAAATTTTAATGTATGACTTTTACAATAGTTTATTTATTCCATGAGAGAAAGTGATGGGTGGGGGTGGGGCTAGAGAACAGGTGGAAATAGAACCCTAAAAAAGATCTTTTTAAAATTAGAATTATTTAATTTAATTATATTATTATTTGCTATAGGGCACATGCACTCACCATAGAGAGACAGAGAGAGAGAGAAAGAGAGGCAAAGTGAGAAGGCAAGCCGCCAGATCCAGGACTTGAAGCATGGTCAACCATGTAGGAGTCCAGTGCCTCAGCCACCATGATACCTGCTGGCCCCACCCAATAGGGTCTTGATGCCACAATCCAACCCCAGCCTCAGCCAGCCGCAGATCAGGGCACACACATGCTTGATATACTCTGGGAGATCTCTCAAATGTAAACAGGTACCTCTGACATGAGCCTACCTTGGGGAACATCATGTCTTACTGCTGTGCCACTCTCTGGCCTCTCATATTTGGGGTACACTCTTTTAGGTGCACACCATCCCCTGTCCCCATCTCTGCTCTTATTTCTTACCATCTTCCCCTGCACTCCCTCTGCTCCTAGCATGGCTTCTGTACAGTTCCTCCAACACGCTTGGCATGTTCATGCTTTAGGGCCTTTCCATGTACAGTTTCCTCTACCGGAAATGGTCTTCATCCAGATCTAGAAGGGGTTCACTCCCTATTCCCATCAGGCTTTTCCTGTACTGTCACTTGTTTGGAGGGGCCTTTCCTGACCATGCTGTCTAAAACAGAGACCCTTCCCCAGCTCTGCCCCTCCTTTATTTACTTATTTTTTCTTACTAGCGATCAGTGCTGTGACAGATTTCCCTCATTTGCCTTGATTGCTGGCTGTCTCCTTCTTGCTTCCTCCCTCAAGGGATTTCTGTCTCCTGGGCTTACTGCTGTGTCCTCAGCACCAAGAACAACGCCCAGCCCATTTCAGTACCCCATTGGTGAATGCACAGATAGAGCACAGAGAGACTGGTTCAAAGTATCATGGGTGCCTTGGGGAGGTGTCACTGTGGGGGTGGGCTCTCAGGTGAGATTTCTTGGAAGGGATCATGCTGAGTCTTGATAAAGAGGAGTGGATAGGACTAGTTGAAGATGTATCCTGCAGGGATTAGCAGAGTGCTAGTATGGAAATAGACACTCGAGGGGCTCAGTCGTTGTGATGCTGCAGTAATACAAATGCCCTGCAAAACTGGAAGCCATATGGTCAACCACAGGTATGGATCCCCAGGCTGGTTTGAAAACTCACCAGGCATATATGTGGGTGTCCAAGATCCTGAGTTGCTGAGGGGCTGGGGAGAGGGGATCTTGGTGTGATGAAACCCTTTTGAAGGTGATTCTTTCCCTCTTTCTTCCCTCCTCATATGCATGTGCTCTCTCTCATAAAAAGAAAGAGGATAGAAAAAGGAAGAAGAAAGAGGCACTCAATAAATACCTGTGAAAGGAACGAATGCTTAGAAAGGAGAGGGAGCTCTTTCAGGCAGAGAAGGCAACATGAACAAAGCTGTGGGGCAAGGAACAGTTTCATTGGTGGAGCAGAGGAAGGTTCAAGGTGAAGTAGAGAGGGGTAAGTAGGAGCCATAGCAAGGCAAGGCTTGTAGCCCATGTTAAGATGTTAGGATTCGGGACCAGCAGGTGGCATAATGGTTACATTGCTGAACTTCCACATGGCTGACCATGGTTCAAGTTCCAGACCCTGTGACTGGAAACTCATTCTGGGCATATGTGCATGCATGCCTAAAATTCCTAGAAGAAAACGGAGGAGAAGGGATTGCATTGTGATTGTCCCTTCTGGGGGGTAATTTCTCGCTTTCTGTCTCTCTGGCGAGCACACCCACCCTATTCCAAAAATCTCTCAAACTAAAAAAAAAAAAAAAAAAAAGAAAGAAAAAAAAGATGTTAGGACTCGATGCCTAAAGGCAGCCATTAAAGGGGTTAGAACTAGGAGTAACCTGGTCAAAGTTAGTGCTAACCATTCTGGATTTAATGCCAAATCTGGGATTAGAATTTGTGAGGGTTTAATTCCCTGACTTCCATCTCATCTTCTGGAGTCGCTCTCTCTTGCAGTGGTGAAGCTGGTTAGCAGTCAAAGAGCACATGCCCCATACACGTATGATTTCCCACATACCTTCCTGGGGCTCTAATTTGCAGAGCATAAAGAAGAATCAAGAGCTAGAGCTATACCACTTTGAAGAAGTAAACTCAGGGAGTACCAGCTCAAAGGTGGGAAGAGAACCATTCAGAAGAGACAGTTCTAAGACTTACCATCCAGGGCGCTGAGATTGGCATTTAGGTCTTCAATCTCATTTGTGATAATGGGACAGAGCTGGCCACCAAAGGAAGAATTTAAAAAAAATGCAGGTTATCATATTGAAATAAAGGTTTTCCGAGTAGGTGACACTGTCCCTTTGGTCAAGGCTTTCCCTTAAATTAGTTAACGCCTATGGGCCTCACATTATACATGATGGGCAACACGTCACTGAGTGCTGGCTAAACTTCACAGCAACTGGGACTACGCCCGGCTAGCCCCATAAAAGAGACAGGCCTTGGCTTTTCTCTCTGTGGCATGATACAGCATGTGCCCAGTCCATGAGTAGCACCTGAGGAACCTGCGGCTGAAATGACCGCATCTTTCCTAATTGTTGAAATGCTGCCCGTTGCCCGTCTCCTCCACCAGAAGCTCCATGCCCTACCTGGAGTGGTTAGAGTTGGAGCTTCTACTTTCTGCCTGAGCTAGTTGAGAGCCATTAACTCAGAGATCTACTTAGAGAACTATTTAGCTTCCTCCTTTTTGGAATTAGAAAATTAGCCTTGAATCAGATTCCTAGACTCTCTAGGAAGGGACACAAGTACCAACATCAATTTATCTGCTGTGTGTTCATCGGTCGTTGTTGTAGGTGAAGTCTTCCAAAAGTTAATGGAAAATGAGTATAGTGAAAAAACTATGCGTAGATTTCAAATCCTTTTTTTTTTTTTGCACCAAAATAGACTCTTACTTTAATTCCATTTCTTCACAAACTTTTTGAATTCCCTTTGGAAGGCTCAGAAGCCTGGCTGCCTGGGGTTGAACCTCTGAGCAAGTTCCCTGTCCTCTGTATCCTCAGTTTCCCTACCTGCAACATGGGGATAATAATTGCATCTACCTTATCAAGTTATTGTGAGTACAAATTGAGGGACTCTACATAAAATCAACCAGCTTATGCATAGTATTTAGTAAGTATTAGCTGTTACAATTTTGACCTCATCTCATCCTCACTATAGTCTCGAGAGGTAGGCACTACTGTGCCCTATTTGCAGATGGGAAAAACAAAGCTTAGAGAGTTTAAGTGCATTGCCAGGAGTTACAAGGCTAGGACTTGAAATCTCGTCTGACACAGCTAGACACACAAGCCTTCTTTTCTATTTCCACTGGCACAGAGAGAATCATAGAAACAAAACATCTATCATCTCTAAACCATAGGTAAACTCAGAAAAACTGAAGAATTGGTTTCAGGGCCAGCAAATAGTGTAGCAGTTATGTTGTTGGACTTCCACATGGCTCAACATGATTCTTGTCCCAGACTTGGTGGCTTGAAAATCATGCCAGGTGCATGTATGTGTGTGCTCAAGGTCCTGGGAGGAGAATGGAGAAGGGATTGCAGCATGGCCATCCCCTTGTTGGGTTGTGGGGGATTTCTCACCTTCCCTCTTACTGCGTCTGTCTCTTTCTCTCTCCGGTGAGCACAAGCATCCTAAGACAAAAACCTCTTTAAAAAATTGGCTTCTGTTTAATTCTTCATTGGTCTCCTGTTGGAGTCCAAAGGACCACATCCCAAACACAGGAATGATTAAGTATAGGGTCCTTCAAGGTGACAGTACAATTTCCCAGTCACTTTTTTTTTTTTTTTGGAGAGGTTTTTGTTATAGGGACTGTGTTCTCACTAGACAGACAAAGAGACAGAAAGCGAGAAATCACCCCCCAGGGGGGATGTCCACACTGCAATCCCTTCTCCTCCATTCTCCTCTCGGGATCTTGGGCACACACGCACATGCACCCGGCATGAGTTTTAAGCCACTGGGTCCAGGACTCGAACCGTGGTCGACTACATGGGAGTCCAGCAACATAGCCATTATGCTAACTGCTGGTCCCCCTAGTCACTCTTTAATGTGCACATTGGTGACACTCACCACCTGCCAAGTAAGGATGAAGAACTACATGGAGATGCAGAGTCCCTGGCCAGCTGTGTAACCTTCTTGGACAAGCTGAGGGTTGATTTCTTCACTGACTTTCATCAAGCATCTGCTGTCTGCCAAAGACAGAGCTGAGTGCTCAAGAGATAGAGATAACCAGGTACTGCCCTTGTCCTTCTTTTCCAGAAGTCTCCCTTTTTCTCCAGTCCTCTTCATCTCTGTCCTGTTTGCCCCAATTATGGGGAAAGAGCTCAGGGAGGGTATGGTTGGTGTTGGAAAGAAAGTGCACAGCCTGTTCCCTCTTTCCCCTTCTCTGACACCAACTTCTGGAATTGGGATACTCGTAGCTTTGTAAGACAGCTTAACTTCTTTTTTGCCATAGGGCACATGTCTTCAATGGAGAAAGACAGAGACAGTGAGAGGGAAAGTGAGAAATCATCCCCTAGGGGAATGGCCACACCGCAATTTCTTCTCCTTCATTCTCCTCCTGCGATTTCGGGCATGTGTGCACATGTACCAGTGTGTTTCAAACCATCAGGTTGGGGTCTTGAACCATGGTTGGCCATGTGAGAGCTCAAGCCTTAACCATTATACTCTGCTGGCCCCCATCTTAACTTATTTTATTTTAGCTTACTTTTATTTTATTTTGTGGAAATAACTTCTCTTCTATCTCATTTATTCCAAATACTATTTATACCTCAAGGTCTAGTTTAAGTCCTACATCCTCTAAAAAACATCTCCCAGGATACTTCCGGGTCCTGTTTCTTTAATTTCTTCATTTCTCTGAACCACTTCAGTTCACTCTAATGATTATGTAACTGTGTAATCATTCAGTTATTGGTTTACAAACCTGAGTTTGGTTTTTCTGAATAGGCAACTTTATTCTCTTTCATAACCCCATCAGACACTGATCCAGTGCTGGGCACACAATAAGTACATAAGGATAAATTCTTGCTGATTTTTTGCCCACCACAATGAGAAATCTGAGGGAGGGGATGTAGTTTTATTCGTACCTGGATCCCTGGCACCTACCATAATGTTTGACACACAGCAGGGACTTAAGAAACAGTTATTACTGAGGACAGAAGTCTGACTACTTTTTCCTACTTCTAAAACCCTTTCCAGAAACCTTGGGGTGAGTCACCCCCACAGACATTAATGGGCCATTTTAGCCCATTTGATAACAAAAATCTTCCTACATCCTGTCCCTGGCATGGTATCCCTGTGAAGGGTGAGTCATGCCCATAATCATTAACAACATCATTTTGACTCACTGATAACAGGACTTTTCCTGCCCTTGGAACAGTATCTCGTGACTGTATACAAGCCCCCTGTGTTAAAGTATACTCTTTACTAATTCCTTCCCAAAACCTACATGTCCCGCTTCTTTGGGCCAGGCCAATGGAAAGCTCTTCATTAAATTCTCTCAGTCTCAGAATCAAATAAAAGCAACCCCTGTACCCAATCACCCCAAGAGAGAGCCATATTTGCCTCCTCTCCGGGCCTAGGTCACACAAATTCATACTTAGAAATAAACTACATTAATTATTATTTTTGCAGAGTTGGTTATTTCCATCAACATTACGTTGCAAAACATACTTAATTCATATGAAAGCCTCTTAATGGAGCCAGAGCCTAGCATACTGTAGGTGCTCATTAAAGGCTTATTGACTAGGGTTATTTAAAGAACGAAGAACCACTGCTGACAATGGTGGTTGTCTAATCCCTAAAGACTTACCATTTCATTTAAATTCTTTAAAATGGGCTTCTCCATGGGCTCAGCAAAGGAGTTATACAGGACACTAGAAAAATGGGGGGAAATATAAAAGGAAAAAGAGAAGAAAAAAAAGGAAGAAAGAAAGAAGAATTTACTCAGGGACCATAGCACGATGGTTATAAACCTCTGCCCAGGGCTTTCCGAGAGTCCAGCCCCAGACTAGCTGTTGCCCATATGGTGCCCACACTCACCTGAGTTCCCCTGAGAATGAAACGTGGGCATGGCTCACACGGGCATAACAGTCCTGAAGCTTCAGGATCGGGTGACCGAAGACATTTCGGGTCAGGATAATGATACCAGTAAAATAGGCCCCGGAGAGAAGCAGATCAGCTTTCCCTGCATCTTGACTGTTCAGAGAAAAAGTGCAAGGTTACCCACACCTGGGCCAGGTGAGGACAGGATCTTGTTTCCCTGATCACCCACAGCTTGAGCTGAAGGGCAGAGACTTGCTCAGCTCTTGGATTCCTGGCTCCTTCAACAAGTAGGAGCTGGATAAATATTTCCTGAACAAATGAAGTCATGGATAGATAGAAATGAAGTATAATACTGAACAAATGGAGTTATGGATCCCAGGTGACAGCTTTTGGGACCTTGTAGTTATTTCATCTCAAGTGCTCTGGCCTAAGTAGTGGTTGAGCACGTTTTGAGCACCATTTATATACAAGGTGAGTTTGGAGATAGAACACCATGGGCTAAGTTGACAGCACCTAATTCGGGAGGGGCATAGATGGGGGAGTGACTTAGTGTAGTCTGAGAAATCCTTGAGGGAATGGACAGTGCGTTATTTGTCTCCTTGTCCCAGGGACTTAGCACGTGGCCTGATGCAGAAGAATCTCTCAATGCGTGATTGATGAGTCACTGAGTTAATGAATGAATAATGAGTCTATGTTGTTTATGGGGTAATACATGACTTCTCTATGATCTATAGGACTAGAGTTTGTGAGATGGGGATAAATAGTATACAACAGGCATTCCATAAATGGTTAAGTAACCGGGGGATGAATGGATGTGTCATTCTGGGATACCAACCAAGGCCGCCCTGAACATTACACCCAGGACAGCCATTGCACATGGTAGGTGGTCTGTTGGTGTACCTCAAATTTGACTCTTTCTTTCTATTATGAGGGTGCAAAAGTCTTTTGGTTGAGGGGAAAGTGAGCTCAAGCTGAGCACCATCCTCCAAACTCCATGTGAGGAAGGAGGGCTCCGTATGCCATCGGTGGGCCCTGCACATGGGGAGTGCATTGAATGACTGACTGAAGATCACACAGTGATTGCTGGTGGATCTAAAATGTTGAGCACATGTCTGTTTCTCTAGCAGCTGGGAACTTCTATTTCTTAGAATATATCTTTAAAAATAATTATTTAATTTAATTTATTGTTTTATTTTTAAAAAATGACCAGAAAGAGACAGAAAGAGAAAGGGAAAGTGAGAAAGCAAGCTGCCAGGTCCAGGACTCAAACCATGGTCAGCCATGTGGGAGTCTAGTGCCTTAACCACCATGCCACCTGCTAGCCCCTCTTAGAATATCTTAAGTCACATGTGACCAGGTGCTCTGTCTTTAAGGAAAGGATGCTTTTTTTACCTCACTCCTCTCTATTAGGGATTTACTGATTTCAATTTCATCTGGGGAAAAAATACCCTTGAGATAGACTGCCAATACTGAGAGAAAGGAATCTAATGTTGAAAATGTTGGCGAAGTTGCACATTTTCCATTTTTGTTCCACTTCTTTCTAGAACAGCAGCAACTCTTTCCGTGGAATACTCACAAGAGCGGAGACTTGATCTCCCAGTCTGTGCTGATATTGGTGATGCCGTGGTTGGTCAGGACTTTGATCCCCACTCCGGGCACAAAGGCTAAGGAAGTATTTGGAAATGAGAAGGCATTGATTTTTATGCTGTAAAACAAGAAATAGAAATTAGTGCAATTCTTCGGGCACATTTAAAAAAGTTCATTTATTTTGAAACCAACAGATAGCATAATGGCTACATGGCTGGACTCCCATGTAGTTGACTGCAGTTCAAGTCCTGGACCTGGTGGCTTGAACTCATGCCAGGCATATGTAGGTGCGTACCCAAGATCCTGAGAGGAGAAAGGAGGAGAAGGGATTGCAGCATGGCCAACCCCCCTGGAGGGTGATTTCTCACTTTCTGTCTCTCTGTCTCTCTCTGTCTTTCTGGTGAGCACATGCACTCTATAGCAAAAATCTCTCCAAAAAAAGTTTATTTAATTCTTGTGACACACACACACAGCACACACATAGAGAAAGAGACAGGCACTCCAGACAGGATCCTCGTGGCATGATCTGCCTTGAATCTCATCTAAACCGGATAGGGGCCGCGTCCACACTTGGTGTGCGCAGGGAAGTCTCAGGGCATGAACCCAGGACCTTTCATGGGAGTCCAGTTGTGCTACCACTGTGCCATCCCCTGGTCCTGGCATACGTTAAGTCAAACAAAACTGGTAACACATATTTGTAGGACTTCTGTCCCTGATGCATATGTGAGTTCCTACAGAGAAAGGGTCCTTCCATCTCCAGTTTAGTCTCTGTGCACTGCCTCCCAGTTCCCTTTTTTAGGAAGCCCCTTGTATCTACTCGAGCAGGAGAAATGAGCAAGTTTAGAAATGTGTAAGTAATCAAATAATCTACTTCTTCAGTTTCTTTAAGCCATTATTTCTTTTCTCTTCAGCAGTTCTAGTTTCTCAAAATGTGTGATATTAGTATCTTGAATGGGACAGCTATTTTTGTGGGACATTTGTCACATAAGCCACAATGTCCCTCCCCAGCCACAAGTACAACCCAAAAACGTGCCTTCTTGCTGTTTCCAAATGCTCTCTGCATAGATATACATATACATATATATATATAAAATTATTAGTCATACGTTAAATCACTATACATCATTTAGATTGTGAAGAGACTTTGCCCAGCATGATATACACCTCAGTCCAGCCCAGTTGAGACCACCATACAGATAATAGGCCTTAGCTGTGTCCCACAAGTGTCTTACCCCTCCATTATCTTCCTTAGTCAAGAAACTTACTCTGTGCTGTCAAATGGGTCAAACGGGTGGTGGGCTGCATGCAGCCTACATAGGTGGAGGGTCACATGCCTTCTAATAACTTATTATGAACCTATCGCGTGAGTCCCACCTGCCGGTCCTGGTGGTAAGCACCTCCCATGCATTTGCTCATTTAACCCTCGCCATAATCCCACGAGGCAGTTGCTGTTTTTGCAATCTCCAATCCAGAGACGAGAAGATGGGTGACTGAAGTCATATATGAGTGGTAGAACCTGACCTGGACACTTCCTCAAAGTGACTGCAGACTGTGCTCTTAACCACAGGGCTGTGTCACTTCCCATCTTGTGCAAAGAGCACTTGACTAAGAGCCAAGTTTTGTACTAGCTGTACAACCTCGGGCAAGTTACTTAACCTCCTTCAGTCAATCACTCCGGAGTGTTGCTCACAGTTTGGTTGGGAGGACAAAATGAGTTCATCTGCAAATTGCTGCACCGGAGAGCTGCACTGCTATGCCCTCAGATGAGAACATTTTAATGGAACCAGCAGATGGTGTAATGATTACTTTGCTGGACTCTCGTGTAGTTGACCACAGTTCCAGTCCCAGACCCTGCAGCTTAAAACTCATGCTGGGCGTGTGTGAATGCCCCAAATCCTGAGAGGTGAATGGAGAAGGGATTGCGGTGTGGCCGTTCCTCCTGGGAGGTCATCTCTCGCTTTCTGTCTCTCTGACTCTCCGGTGAGCTCATGTACCCTATTGCAAAAATCTCTCTTAAAAAAAAAAGGTGGTGTGTGGTAAGTGGCACTGTGGTTTAAGGGTGCTGGACTCCCACATGGTCAACTGTGGTTCGAGTCCCAGACCTGGTGGTTTGTTTTCTCTTTCTTTTGCTTGCCTTCGCTCTGTCTCTCTCTGGTCAAATTTAAATAAATAAACAAAGTTAAATAAAATAATTCTTTAAAAAAAGATCAAAGAAAAAACTCTCTAAAAAATAAAAGAAAAATTTAAAATGTAAATGTGATCGCTGATAAATAGTATTGGCAGAATCTTATTAAGGTAAAGCTTCAGGCAAAAATTTCATTAAAAGAGGAGGCTGACTCGGTTCTTCCAGCCTTGCCTCTTCCTCCTTCTGGCTGCCTGGAACACCTGATGGCTGGGACTGCAGTGGCCATGCTGGGCCACGAGGCAGAGGCAAACTTGAGAACAGAAGCTGGAGCCCGGGATGGCAGAGCAGGACAAGATAAGAAGGCTGGTTCCAGGTGAGATCAGGGGGCTTCCATGTTCCTCTGTTGTTTCATTTTTTTGAATTTCTTACATGTGAGACAAAATGCTTTTCTTTTACTTACTTTGAAAAATTGTAGTTCACGTAATCCATCTTCAGAAATTCAAGAGATTCAGAACCTTTTAAATCTGGGATGTTCTTTTCCTTTACCATCTGTTCAATAACCTCCATCCCAACTTGAACACCTGTGACAGAAACAAGACATTATTGATAACAACAAAAATGGTGGTGACATAATATCATTAACCACACAAGTGCAACATATTGAATGAGTCATGCTCGACCTTAGAAAGTTACACCTCTACAAAGCAAGGGTTATTCTGCTTTACAGATGAAAACGCTGATTCTCAGAGAGGCTAAGAAACTCCTTAAGACACAGAGCTAACATCATGGGATATTCTGATTATGTGGTCGGGGCCAAAGAGTTCACAGTGTGATTGAGAAATATTCTTCAAAGGATACTGCTAATATCGTTATGCATACTTTATAGATGAGAAAACAGCCTCAGAGAACTTAATTCTCACCCCCACCATACAGCTGAGAATGGGGTAGGGAGTGAGACAGGGGGAGCAGAAATCAAATCTAGGCAATCTGGCTCCAGAATCTGTGTACTCTGGCCAGTTCTAGAAAGTTCCTTTGCATTCTTTTTTCTTTCCAGATTCCTTTTTTTTTTTTAGAGAGATTTTTACTATAATGTGCTTTCTGGAGAGACAGAGAAAGAGGGAGAGAAAAAGTGAGAAGTCACCCCCCAGGGTGGATGGCCATGCTACAATCCCATCTCCTCTATTCTCCTGTCAGGATTTTGGGCACACGCACACATGCCCAACATGTTTCAAGGTGCTGGATCCAGGATTGGAACCACAGTCCGCCATGTGGGAGTACAACACCATAACCACCACACCACTTACTGGTCCCTCTTTCCAGATTCTTTCAGCTCCAGAATTTTGGGCCTGAGGTTCATGGGCCACAGAGAACTTCTTTTTTAAATTTAAAATTCATGTCACTTTTTTTTTTTTTAATTGCCAAGAGAGCACATGTGAGGCAGAGAGAAAGAAAGAGGCAGAGAGAAAGAAAGGGAGAAAACGCTCCCCTCACCCCTGTGGGGCATGGTCATGCCACAATCCCCTCTCCTCTGTTTCTCCATCCTGTTGGGATTTCGGGCATGAATGTACATGTGCCGGGCATGTATTTCAAGCCACTGGGGCTGGGATTTGAACTGCATTGGCCATGTGGGATCTGGCTCCCTTTTAGGCTATGGGGCCAGTTCTCACAGGGAACTCTTGAACTGCCTGAAATTCTAATGAAAGACTGAGAAAGTTGTGTGTGCATGTGTGCCTCATTTTTCAAGGGAGAGGATCCCCATTTTTACTAGATCCTCAGAGGATCCCAAGACTCAAAAAGGTTAATAACCATGGCTTTCTCTCATCCTGGAGTAGCTCATCACCTTCTTCATATGGAAACACCACGGAACACACTCCTCTGCCCTCTGGGTGGAATTCTCTCCCACAGTAAAGAGTTTAAGCGAAGTAACTTCATCGTGAATGAATAATGATGTTTTAACTTTAAGAAATTTTAAGAAATGTTGACTTCATTCCTTACTTTGTAGTTCAAGTTCATTTCCAGACAATCTATCCTTTCGGGAGATGAGGAAGAGCAGGTTTTATCCTCGAAAATGCCAGGAGTAATATTGTAATAGGAGAGTGTAAAGACGGGGTATCAATGACGTGAAGGCAGTACCAAAGCACTGTGTTAGCTCAGAGCTGAATCTCCCCGTTACCTTACTAGCTCGTGACCCTGCAAATTACATAATCTCTCCAACCCTCAGTTTCCTCACTGGTGACTTAGGGACAGGCAAATCCTGGAGCGGTCTGTTCACACAGTGACCATTACACTCGCCAATATTTCTGAGACGTTTGCTATTCCCAGACCCTATTCTAAGTGCTTTATATTTGTTAATTCAGTACTTCCCATGACAACCCTGTGAGAAGGTACTAGTGTTATCATCTCCACTTCATTTTACTTTTTTGTATAGAGTGTGTGTGCTCACCAGAGAGACAGGGGGAAGAGGAGAATGAGAAACCCCTCCCCCACCCCAGAGGTATGGCAATGCTGCAGTCTCTTCCCCATTCTCCTTTGGGGTTTTGGGCATGAACACACATGTGCTTGGTGTGTGTTCTGAGCAGCTGGTCAGGACTCAAACCTCACAGTTGGCCACATGGGATCCAATGGCTTGACCTCCACCTTTGGCCCACAACATCTCCTTTTATTTTGGAGAGGTTTTTGCTATAGGGCGTGTGCGCTTGCCAGACAGACAGAGAGAGACAGAGAGACAGAAAGCGAGAAATCACCCCCAGTGGGGATGGCCACGCCACAATCCCTTCTCCTCCATTCTCCTCTCAGGATCTGGGGCACACACACACACACGCGCCTGGTGTGAGTTTAAGCCGCCAGGTCCAGGACTTGAACCGTGGTGGATTACCTGGGAGTCCAGCGATATAGTCATTATGCCAACTGCTGGTCCCAACATGTCCATTTTAATAAATATCTTGCAGATACCATTAGTAACAGGCACATCAGACCTCTGTCTGGAAAGACGTGGGGCATGTGTAATAGTCCATTTGTACTGAGTGCCTGCATGTGCCAGGTCTGTCCGCGTTCTGCTCTCTCTCCTTCAGTCCTCACCGCCACCCGGTGACATAGGCATTGTTATCCCTACTTTACATGGGAGGTAGCTGAGGCTCAGAGAGATTCATGACATGCCCAAGAGCCCACAGCTAGTGAGCAGCACTTTGCAGAGCTTGGAGGAACCTGGAGCAGAGGACAGAGCGTAGGTGTCAAGATCAGTTCTTATCTCGCCTCAGACCCGTGATGATATGTGACTTGAGAAGCAACTTCAGATTCTTCCCCTGTAAAATTGCAACAGCTTCTTTGTGGGGTTGTTGTGGGAATCATATCAACACAAGGCCCCATAGGTACATTCAAAGTGCCTGGCCATGCTAATGGAATGGCTCTGACTTCAAAGCCTGTCTTTCTCCACCATCCCTGATTCTGTGCTTCCACAGAGGAACTCATCTAATCCTCTCATCACACTAGAAGTAGGTAAGCCCCATCTTCATGACCTCATTCTCCACAGGAGAAAACCTACTTGCCCAAGGCCATGGATTTGTTAAAGGGTAGAATGGACTTCATATCCATGTGGACAGATTTCAGATTTGTTCTCTTAATGCCTCTACTCTAGAGGATGGAAAAACTATTTGCACAACTTTAATGTTGTTGCAAGGTGTGTATTTCTGATATGTAATACCCTGCACCGCAACACATCAATACATAACAAGATATAACACACATTTGTATGCACACAATGTATCCTTGATACAATACGTACTTTAAGCCACCGGGTCCGGGACACGAACCACGGTCGACTATGTGGGAGTCCAGCGACATAGCCATTACGCTAACTGCTGGTTCCCAACACACAATGTATCCTTGATACAATACGTACTTCTACACACACCATGGTTCATACAACAGTTGTGCAAGCTGGATCAATTTTAGATTTCCTATGCCACATGAGGTACTGGGAGAAAGACAAAGAGTTGCCCCCAAATCTTCCTTCTTTTTCTTCCTTTTTTTCTCCCTTCCTTCCTCTCTCCCTCTCTTCCATTTTTTTTTAATTTACTTTTTTTTCTGGTATAATGGGAAAGGTATTTCTTTCTTTCTTTCTTTTTTTTTTTTTTTTTTTTTTTTGGAGTTTTTG